AAGGGTCTAGGCCCGAAACGTCAGCCTTTCTGCTCGGCCTGCTGTGTTCATCCAGCTCTGCACCTTGTTGTCTCGGATAAACCAAAAATATTGCTGATTTGATACTTGGTATACGAAGAGTTTATTGTTTTTGAACCAGAGCAGCAGCTCAGGAGCATTTGCTGACATCTGCACTAAGGATTGAAGAAGTGGCTAGTAATCCCTCCAAATGTCATGTGCAGAGAGTTTAGTTATGGCCAAAAATAACTTGTAATACTCTCAAATTTGGTTTCACACATGGTGAATTGATTAGGTTCTAGGGAGTGTCAGGGGCCTGTGCAATCATTGGATAGAATCTTTTACTCCTGGAGGTCATGAGCTGGGACTCAAAAAAAGCAGTTACTTAGTTTGGTGTGGCCGTTACCATACAATAGCACCTTCCCACCCCTGTCAAAATTTAGTTCTGGACAGAGACCCCCTTACTGACCTTCCCAAGCTGCTTCAAATTGATGTTATATTACTTAATAATGACCACACAAAGGTCTCATAGACCACTGCATTTCTACTAACCCAGCTGGAGGCAATCTGTCAGCGTGTACTTAAACAATAGCCACCTCGCCGAAGGGTTGCTGGGATTGGGATACGTACATAACGTACACCCTACTACTCCCAACCTCAGAAACATCATTCACCCACATGGCTTACATTTGTTCTCTGTCTTCTGGAATCATGAAACTCCGGGCCACGGCCTCTGGTTGGCTGGCCGCTCTTACAGGGCCTTCTGCCCCACTACCGTGATTCTGGGGATGTCCCTCGTGTGACTAAACACTGCGTTGGAAGGGGCAGTGCAGGCGTTTTAGCAGCCGTGCAGGTGTCTTAGCAGCTCTTCAGGCAAGACCCCAGTGCCTCAATAACATACCACCTACCACCGCCTTAAGATGAAGGGTAGGGAGAGTTGAGAAAGAGATATTTAAGTCTTTTTCCCGCCTGTCTACTTAAATTGTACCTTAATATAGTACTGATCAATATTCCCTGGCATTGACTGTTCCCCATCTGGGACCTGGAGGACTAGCATGTGATTGTAATGCTCAGCTACTACCCCAGCCTTCCCTTTTAATACCACTGCTTAGGCATACCCTGAAGAAATGGACTTCAACCAGTCTTTAGATTGATTATTATTCAGACTGGCAATTTCTTGTTTTATCAATTTGGGAAGAGCCAGATTCCTGAGAGATTAGAAATATCTTCAAGAAATGGTTGACCCTCTAAATTTTTCTCCTCCCCGCAAAAACAGATTGCCTCAAGTCACTTCATTCAAGTTGTGGTCACCAGAGTGACATATAAATGCTTTTGAGAGTTTCTATAGGTAAAAGATGTTAATCACTTAACACTATAACATACCCTCCAAACTGCATATTCTGGCTGGGCTATAAAAAATTGGTTGTTAGTTTATGATTTCCACTCATTCAGGTCTTTGCCTGTAGTCTCTATTCCAAAAGAACACTGGAGCAGGAGTACTCCAGACAGCCCCTGTTCCATATTGCCATGGCTGATCTTGGGCTTCAAGTACACTTTGCTGTCTGCTCCCCATATCCTTTGATGTCCCAAGATCAAAGCTTTTGACTATATGTAAGGTTGGGATAGACAATCGTGGAACATCCACAAGCATCTTGGGGAAGAAAATGCCAAAAATTCCCTACTCTTCAGAGTTTCTCCTCATCTCCGTTCTATATAAACTTTATCCTTAGATTTTGTCCCATGTTCTGGATTCGCCAACTAGTGGGAACATGTGCCTAACCAATCATGCCCCTTTATCGAAAAGCCACTAGGCTCAATTTACACAGCCACCCGCTGTCTGACAACTGCTCAATCCAGACACTAAAGTTCTTAATTTTTGCTGTACCAACTTAATTCATGTATATCTGTCCTATGTGGAGACCAAAATTGCACAAAAATATTCTAGTTGTGATCTCAACAAAGTCCTGAAAAAATAGTAACAAGTCTTCGTTATTCCTGTACTCTAAACAGTTTGTAGTAAAGGCCAACGTGTCATGTCTCCCTAAACTTTTGCTGGACCTGCATACAAATATTCTAGGTTCCTTCGATCAACACACGCAAGTCTCTCTGACTATGAAACATTCCTAGATGATCAATATCACCCAGGTTTCCTTAACTCCAAAACAGTGAACCCCTGCATTCTCAGTATAATATAGGAAAACTCATATCATTTAAGGGGCTGGAAAGATAGGTATAATTATTTCAACACTTCCAAAAAAGACTGTGCAAGGCCTCAATGAAGAACCAGATTCTTCTAATACAGTATTCCTCAAAGGGCCCAAGAGCAACATTCATAGTGAACTTATTTTCCTATCTCCATCTTTCAACATGCAAATATTGATTTTAACTTTACTAACCAAAAGCCTAATAGACACAGTTCAGAAAGACAACAATAATGTAATATCAAAATATATTTTATTCTGGACCTCTTTCAGATCTGATGCAAATTATGGTTGTCAGATCAATACAATGCAAAGGGAAGCTGCAACAGAAGATGTGCCTCGGTGGTGATAGTTTTAGGGTGAAGTGGTGGAAGAAGAATTAGGGAAGGGGTGGGAGGAAAATCATTAATGTAATGTGAAACCTAAATACATTATCAGGTGATATTTACATGGTCCAGCACGGTATGGTACATCAAAAATCAGTCTTTTTAACAGGTACAAATAAAAACAGAACGATAAAGAGTTCAAAGAGTAGAAAAAAACTTTCATGGCCTGGTTTACAGGTTCACAATTTTTAAAATCTTAATTTGAGAGAACTGTAGAAATGATGCAGACATGTAAATCCACTGCTAGAGGAGTAGTGCTAGCCCCTGAAATCATCCTTTTATGCGAGTCATTCTTGAACACAATGTGTCTAACGCTGTCTTCACCAACTTGAACACTTCACTTGCTTTGAACTATTAAGTTTCATTTGCAGCCCTTTCTAAAACAGCATGTGTTACGGAACAAATGAGCAACAGTTTTACCAGCACATTCATTCAATATTGGTTTGAATAAGAGGTGGAGCTTTAAATTTGAAGCATTGAAATTCTTGTGAATTTGCTATGTGTTGTGTATGCAATATGTCTAGCTTTAGGTAGGTCAAACAATGACAATTTTGCCGATTAGGGTCTGTCAAAGTCCTAGCAGATCTGAATAGGAATCTCCTCAGATCACTAAAGTACAGATTTTCTTAGAACAAATAAGAAGAACAAACCTATGTTTGGAAAGTGCCGCTATCATATAACATTTGACTGATGTAAAAATTATGATAAATTCCCATCTTCAGGTGAGAGGTTCTAATCAGCCTCAATTTTTGGATAGTCATGTCTGACTGCCAACCTTTATCTAACTCTATATTTTCCACTTGAAAATTAATCAAAATTGTCCTTACATATGTACCTTCAGCAGTGTCAAAAACAGCAAATAGAAAGCTACTTGCATGGTTTCAATTCTTTTTTTAAAAATGCTTCCAGCCTGTTATCCACAGTATTAGTCAACTCTCAAATGCTGTACCACTGATGTATATATTCTTTTAAAAAGATTTAACTGTAAAGGTTTTAACTGTTTGATTAAAAACTAACTAGGGGTACATTAAATTCTTTCGGCCAACATCAAGTATAAGATGCATTATGCATTATTTTTAATGAGAAGAATGCAAGGATTTTTAACTTGGACTGTAACAGATTTGCAAACAGCAGAACTCAAAAGAATGATAAAACCAGTCTCATTCATCACCTTAGTACAAAACAACAGAAGGGCTGGGAAATAATGGGATTTCTTTTACATGTGGTAAAGCTGCCTAATCATTTATCTACATTTGACAAACGGCCCATAATAAAAGTCTAGGAGCCATTCAACCTTTTGCTCAACGTGAGTGATGCAGACATTGCAGATTATATATAGCAGCTATTTGATTACACCATGTTACCTATGATCAGTTCCAAATGTGATTAACAGATTTTTCTCCAAAGACCAAAAAAATCTAACCTCTGTGCAGAATGTCTTCTTCGTCAAAAAAAAACAACTGGCCTTGCATTTTTAATGAGTTGGAAAACAGATCAAGTTTGAAATATTGGATTAAAGCTTTTGCAACAGGAAGCTCATTTTCATTGATCTGTTGCTGCATGGGGCATGGGAAATAGAAGAATACCTTTGTTAGTCTAAGATTTTATAATGCATTAAATCCAAGGATTTGAAACCTCAAACGTCTTTTCTTCGTGTGAAAAAGTAATCGAGTGTCTTGTAGCAGAAATATTTGTTTAACCACTTCATCATCTGAAGAAGGGTCCCCTGAGGTTTTAAAGCTCAGATATGCTATACTTTATAGAATATACTTTTATTCTAAAAAAAGCTATTGCAATTATACTACCTGTACTTTACTGAACAATACAGCAAGTGCAAGTACATATGAGGGCTGAGCCAAGATGAACCCATGTGTAATACATGAGCACCAAGGAAAGAAAATAAAAGCAAAGTCAACCCTTACCCTAGCATTAACATAAAACATATGCCTGCATGATTTCTGCCCAATGGCAGAGGGAGGGGGAAAGGAGGTTTATCTCATTGCACTGGATAGGTTTTTAAAAACATTGCTTAGTGGACTTGCGTCCTTAATACTGGAATCTTGCTATGAAAATTATGCTTTAGTTAGTTCTACCAAAGCATAAGTAGAATAACAGCAATAATCCTCTGTCCAGAAAATTTATCTTCAAAATTCTATAAGCTGCTCTGTCAATAGTGCACAATCCAACCATACGCAAACTATGGTCTTAAAGCAATGGGATGCATCCCTGCATCGATTCTCTTTCTTTGTGCCCATTTGTTTAACTCTCATAAATTGGCAGAATCATGTCCCCATTAAGAAACTACTACATTTTAGCCACATCACCTGTAAACCACAACTTGTTACCTATGCCTGATGTACATTGAAACTAATTTTATGTCAAATTTTGGAGCAGTTTTATCTTTCCCCACATATTGATTCGTGAGCCACAAAATGTACCAAAAAAATACCAAATACACTGTTATTTTGCTTATAGTATCCATAAAAAAGTTTTTTTCTAATTGCGTGTTAAGTGTCAGTAGGAAAAAAAACAAGATAAACAAGATACAGTCACTCTCCTACATCATGCAACTGTAAACTAAAGTGAAAAAACAATGTTTAAAACAAGGGAACAAACTATTTGCTGCTGTTTTAAAGAAGCTGATATGTCTGCACACAGATCTGCTGAACTGCTGACAAGATAACTCATTCTACATAGACTCTGGACCAAAAAAATAAAAGATATTTTTGTCCTCTGATATTATCTTCCCATTTTGGTACACATATGGTCTCATGTCAAGTCTTTATTTTTCCCCAAGTTGTTTTAAACCTTCAAGAAAAGTCAACTTTTCTTTGTGGGTGGAGCTTCCAGCATTAAGCAGTCAGGGTACTCTTCACATCAGGGCTCAACTGTCCTTGGTTGTATTCGGACTTGTTTTGGCTGTAGTGGACTGGCCATGGTTCAAGTGAGACTGTAGCAGTGCATGGGGGCAGGGACAGTCATTTTGGCTATGTACACATTCATTGTCGGTCCATGGCTTCCAGCTAGCAACGCTATTTCCGCAGGTCTAGCACACAAACCTTCAAGAAAAAAAACAAAATGTAAGTTCATCCAGCAGTTTTATAAAATCATTACATATTCTCTATTAGCTTTTTATGCCTAATGAATGACATTTACATTTGCAAAGACACCCACCAAGTACTTTGAATGTATTAGAATAAATGTGCAATTATTAATCTAAATAACTTTGCAGAAGTTATTGACTGTTAATTGGAAATGATCACATCAGCTTAGAACGTAGTTACAGAATTTTATTTGTCTCCTGACTACAAGTACTTGAGTTTGCATGTGGTAGCAAAGTTCAGGAAGGAATTTCAATCAGTAAAATTCCAGAATTGGTGAGGCTATTGAGGAATTTAAATAGTAGGATAAGATTATAAATTTGAGGTGCTGAATATGAACTTAAGCCAGTAAGCATAAGCATGATAGTTGAACGTAGGAGATCGATAACACTATTTCGAACGTGAATTAAAAGGCTGGAGGATGGAGACTGGTTAGGACAGCTGGAATAATAAAATCTAGTGTAGATAACAGTATGAATATGAATTTCAGTGGCAAAAAAAGGCTGAATCAGGGGTAGGGGAATGTAAAAATGGAAGTGAGGTAGCAATTGTAACAGAATTTGGAAGCTTAGCTTGGCATTTAACAGGGCATCACGATTGTAAACACTCTTGTTCAGCCTGCAACACTGATCAGGAAGAAGGACAAAATTGGTGGGAAGAAATTGCATTATGATGGTGCCAGAGACAGAATGGTTTTGGTTTTTAGTCTAGCTGTAAGACATTATGTCACATCTAAGATGTTGAACAAGTAGTATAACAGCATTGAGGGAAAGGAAAAGGATGGGCCCACTAATAAATCAATATTAATGATGGAGGAAAGGTAAGAATCCATCCAAGATATTCTAAAGTATGGTAAACAATAACAATATTAAAGGAGAGCTTTAAGGAGTAAAACTGGGTAATGCTCACCAAGTAGGATATGGTGCCAGAAGAGTAGGGAAGGGAACAAATTTTGACTAATAAGGGCCACCTACCATGGCAGTTTCAACAGGGTATGAATAACCAGCTAGGAAAACTTTAGTAGATGCATGTCATTCCCATGCACAAGTCAGCTTCAGTCAAAGTCAGAATGTCATTGTACAATTAATTAAAGATGGTATGGATTTTTTGCACAGATGAAGGGAAATTCTGTATAGAAACATAGACTGTGAGATAACTTACTTCAGGTAGATTGAGAGAGCACGACAGCAAGCTTACTGGGACAGGTTAAATCTCAGTAGGAGCCTTAGGTGAGGTCATCAGAGGAGGGAAAAGAGGGTTTTTGTTTTATTCATTCACAGGATGAGGACATCTCTGGCTAGGCCAGCATTTATTGCACATCATTAATTGCCCAGAGCCAACCACATTACTGTGGGTCCGGAGACACATACAGGACAGACCAGGTAAGGAGGGCAGTTTCCTTTCCTAAAGGACATTAGAAAACCACGTAGGTTTTTCCTGACAATGGCAATGGATTCACGGTCATTCATCAGACTCTAATTTCCGGATTTTTACTGAATTCAAATTCTGCCATCTGCGATTGTGAAATTTGAACCCGGGTCCCGAGAACATTACCTGGGTCTCTGGATTAACAGTCCAGCAATAATATCACTAGGCCGTTGCCTCCCGAGGATATTGGGACTGCTGCTCTTATGAGACAGGCGTTTCATTGTCGTTTTCAGAGAATGCCAAGAAAGGCACAGATGATACCTGACAGCTCATTCAAGGGAAATTGAAGCTTGAGGCAGAAGGCTAGGACATCACAGTGGCAGAGGTGGGTTGTAAATAAAGTACCCAAAAAAGGGGAGAAATGAAAGGTAACATGACTGGATGACAGCAAAGAGAGGAAACAGGTCAGATAGATCAGGATACAAATCTAAAAGACAGGTATAATGGCTCAGAACAACAAGATGGATGACTGAATAGAGGGATTACACAGGCAGAAATTATAACAAATATAACTTGGTGAGAAGAGACATTCCCCCTTAAATTATACTTAGTACCTTAATGTTATGTTACATCCAATTAGTTAAGTATCACCTCACCAAGTACTAAGGCAAATTGCAAAGTGAGCCTCAAGACATTCTCTATTTTTAAAAACAAACCATGTTTGCATTTTCGGGTGAATTGATCGCTAATTATTTACTGGTAAGGCATTGATTCCTTGACTGAACTAAAATTCTTGACAGATTTCTGGGCAAAGGGTCTCTGGTTTGCCCCAATTCCGTGATTGTTTAGGAACTAACTGGTTACGGTACAGAAGGGCCTCTAATCTTTTCTGAATGCAGATTCCATTTGCTTAAATTCTTGTGCACTAACAGCAACATAAAACACACTTTAAAAAGACCAGCATCAAACAAATGGAGAATCAGTCCCAGATTCAATGTTCTACATAGTAGTTTTATCCTAACATATTGAATATTTGAAGACTTGATTTGTAAATCATTCGATATAACTTTTAAATGCAGCACAACTAATCAAATTTACCTAAATATGAAGACCTTAATAAATTAAGTAGGCCAACATAAATGTAAAATTTTCATTAGCATTTAATATGAACTTCAATAATATGGTCAGTAGGTGGAGACACTGTACAAAAAACATCCATTGGAAACTACAACACACAAAATAGTAAAGAGGCTGTTTATTTCATTGCAGTCAAATTCAGTATCTATTACCAGTCAATTCATAATACTCAGCTCAATTTTGATTACCCATCCTTTCTGTATAGTATATACTAGTTAATCTATATCAAATGTAGCTTTTTGCTGAGACATGTCAAAGGCAAGAGGAACATGGCACCTCATAAGGGTCAGACATTCTATCCTCATTTTGACTAAATATTTGGACTAGAAAGTAAAGAATCACAGAACATTTACAGTACAGAAAGCAGTCATTCAGTCTGCAATGGTTGAGTAAACCAATCACCTAATCTATAGACTTGAAGGTTTTCCTTTTAATGTGAGTTCAAGGTTACTGCCTCAAACACTAAACTGGGCAACAAATTCCAACACCGACAATCCACTGATTGAAAAAATTTTTCCTCATGTCCTCTCTGATGCTTCTACCAATCACCTTAAATCTGTGCCCCTGTATATGACCTCTCTGCTTGGGGAAACATCTGCCTTGTGTACTCTATGCAAACCCCTCATAATTTTACACGCCTTGATTAATTCATTCCTCCTATTTACAATTTTCAAGCTCTGACAACATTGTCACAGATCTCTCTGTATTCTCTCTATAGAAATTATGCTTTTCCTGCAATTTGGTGTTCAGAACTGTATGTAGTCTAACTAGTGTCTGAAATAATTATGGAATGACATTCCTGCTCTTGTAAATACCTGACCCAATGTCGAAAAGCATTCCATATACCACGTTTACTGCCTTATCTACCTGTCCTATCAGATTCAGGTAGCTGTGGGCATGCACTCCAAGGCCTCTAACTTCCTCTATCCCTCTCAATACCCTTTTGTTTATTTGTACTTCCTTGATTTGTTACCCCTCCTACAAATGCACTTGTACAGATTGAATTCCATTTGCCAATGTTCTGTCTACTCTACTGAACCACTGCCATCTTCCTGCAGTCAACAGCCATTTTCTTCCCTATCTACTACCTAGCCAATTTTCCTATCGTCTGCAAATTTCCCAATTTATGCCTCCTACATCTAAGTCTAAATCATTAAAAATTTACCACAAGCAGCAAGAGAACCAAAACTGAGCCCTGTGGAACACTGCTGGAAACCACTTTCCATCTGTAAGAACATCAGTTGATCACTGCCCTTGTTTCCTATCACAGAGCCAATTTTAAAAATGATCCCTCAAACCAGCTCTACACCTTGTTATCTCCTATACATGCCATGAGCTTTTAGCTTTCTTAGCATTCTGCCATGTGGGACCATGTCAAATGCCTTAATAAGATCCAGGCAGACAACATCCTGTACCAGCCTCATCAATCCTCCTTTGTTACTTCCTCAAAATATTTGACACAAACATAATCCTCCCTTAACATAACCATGTTGACTATTCTTGATTAAGCTGTGACTAGGAATAGTTAATTCCTGTTTCTCCATTTATTTCAAGGATTTGCCACGGTCAGAATAACTATTCTATAATTATTTGGTCTTTTCCCCATATTGTTATTTAAATAATGCAACATTTGCAAATCTCCAAACCACTGGTATCTCCCCTGTATCCAGTAAGCATTGGAAAACTATTCTCAGAGCATTTGTTATTTCCTCCCTGGTTTCCTTTAAACAGCCTGGCTTACAATTCATCAGCCTTGGTGATTTCTCCACTTTCAAGGAAGGCCGACCCTCCAGTACTTCACTTTTCATTATTTTACCTAATATTTCTCATTCTATATATACTAAACGAACATCGAATTAGGAAACAAAATATAGATTCACTGTACAGGCTGAGGAGCTAAGTATGTAAAACTGATGTAATTCCACTGGCAGAAGGGCATTCGTGTGAGATGTGTTTACGTACACAAGTACCGTTATAACATAAAAATAAAAATTTATATTGGAAAAGGGTTTGACAGATGTTTAATATATTACAAGATGGAGCGCACGGTGGCTCAGTGGTTAGCACTGCTGCCTCATAACGCCAGGGACCCGGGTTTGATTCCACCCTCGGGTGACTGTCTGTGTGGAGTCTGCACATTCTCCGTGTCTGTTTGGGTTTCCTCCGGGTGCTCAGGTTTCCTCCCACAATTCAAAGATGTGGTTAGGTGGATTGGCCATGCTAAATTGCCCGTAGTGTTCAGGGATGTGTAGATTAGGTGGGTTATAGGGGAATGGGTCTGGGTGGGATGCTCTAAGGGTCGGTGTGGACTTGTTGGGCCGAAGGACCTGTTTCCACACTGTAGGGATTCTATGACAAATAAATGGGTTATCGGTATCAAATCTTGTTGCCAACTGATGTCCTTAAAAACTAGAAGAAACGAATTCTACTTCTAATTTTAAAACAAGTCTAAGAGCATTTTAAAATGGGGCTAAATTAATCTTATAATATATATTTTAATTTAGTTAACTTTAAATTCTGCTAATATATAGACGGATGTCAATTGTGATACTTACTGAACCATCTGATGCACTTGCACCCACTTTATCCCCAGCTGCATTCCAGCAAACTTCAAAGATTCCTCCTGTTCCCCTGTAGCTATGGACAAGAGCACCTGTCTGTAAACAAACCATTTTATTTCAATTATCAGAGATAAGACAGAGTACCAAAAATTTGAACAACATGCAGTGACTGTCAAAGAGTCCACATGGTGCACTGCATGTGTTTGTAGAAATTAATTCAAGCATGCACTTGCACTGAAACAAACTGGTTGAAATCAGACACAACCATCATTTCCTCTGTGATAATAAATATACAAGGGCAGTTATACATACAGCAATATTGCTTGCTTATGTTATTATCAGTTGTCCAATATAAATTCTACATTCTATAATTCTAAACAAAGAATAAGACTGACAAAAAGGGAAATGAACTGGTCTTCAACAGCTGACAGAACTTACCTGTGTGTTCCAGATGTGAACACATTTGTCAAAGGAGCCACTAGCTAAGTACCTGCCATCTGGGCTGAATGCTACACTGTATACAGGTTCCTGGTGTTTGGTCAAAGTATGGATACAGATACCTCGGTCCACATCCCATAACCGTACAGTGGAATCAAATGAAGCACTGTGGTGGGGAAAAAAAACTCAAGTCTAACAGCATTCTTCAAAAGTCACACCAGCAGCACTCATAACACATTGAAAATATTTTCAAAGCTTCCAGTAAATGGTAAAGTACTGTATCCATGCAATGAAAGAAAATTATTTTAAGAAGTGTCTGACTCTTTGAGGAGAAATGAAGCATTTATTGCTAAAGTGCATACAGGAATAATTATTTTGCGATGAGAGTCACCACAGCTCAACGCATCTCTGACTATATTACAGATGTTAATAACCAGCTGATGAAATTCAGATCAACAGAAACACTTTTTGATCAAGTGCTAATCGAGAGCCATCACATCAAGCTGTAAAATTCAATGCCAGACCTCAGTGTGCATTCATTGTAACCCTGAATCATTCCAGGTTTTTGAACAATTCCACATGTTTTACATTAAAACTTTTCTGTATGCCAGTACCAACGGTTATAATCAAAGTTCACTGAACAAAAGTTAGTCTTTGATTACCAGGAAACAATGATAATATCTAGTACATACTAGAAACACAATGATTGATATTTACTTAACCTATTAGGTTTATGGTCTAAAACCCATTCAGTAAAAGAAAATCAAGGTAAACAAACAATTGCCAATATTCTGCATTCATTATGCATTAATTAGTCACATTAAAAAAATTTGAAGCTTCCACAGAGGAAGGGGCCTGTCATGCATGTGCTTTTAATTTCCACATTTGCGCCAGCCCCCTGCAAGCGAGTGTCTTCCCACTACTATACAGGAAATATACTAAAGCAGTACAGCATATAATTGAATACAAATTAAAAATATTGCAAACAAAAACACAACAGAGAGAAGCAGGAGTAGACGATAAGATCTATTAAGTCTCCTCTACCATTTAATACAATTGTAGCCGATTTTGGACTTCACTTTCCTCCCCAATCTCACTATTCCTTGATAGACCAAACATCTATCTCACAGAGAAGTATATTTAATGATGGAGCATCCAAACCTCTGGGGATGCAAATTCCCAAAGATTCAAAACTGATAATGAAGCCTTTTAATCCTAACTAACCTCAGTCCTAATTAATTGCCACTGCATCTTGAAACTGTACCCCTATATTTTAGATTACCCCATCAGCAGAAATAGCCTCTCAGTTTCTACATTGTCAATCCCGTATGCTTCAAAGCCCCTACAAAATCTTGTATGTTTCATTCCTGTTATTCTAAGTTAAAGGCCTAGTGAATGCATATAGTACTGCATGCTACCTACGTTAAGTTTCAGTTTCAGTTATATAGCTTGTCACTTTTCTCATATCCAACTGATTGGCAGCATTTGCTTAAGATGTAAGCACTTATTTAATGCATCCTTCTTTAAAATATTTACTTGTCTCTATCTCCTTCCCTTATAAAGCATATTCTTCATCTGGTACTGTAGTTCCTGAGCTAGTAATTGGTGTGGCACAGGTTGAAGAGGGAGAGGAAAACTCCTATTGCCAAGTTTCATGTGAACAGGTGGTGGTTGGTCATCCACAGCAGCATAGTGCTTTGTCAACATCCCCCTATCCTCACTGAAAAACAAATTTTGTCAAGATACATTGTAACAGCTAAACTTTTGTTCTATTGGCTGTTAACAACTTTTCTGTCAAGTTTGTCATGGTACATCCTGGGAACTGTAGGTCCCCAGGAACAAATCAAGTAATCCAACAATTAACTGGGACTGTCTGACTAGTGCATTCTGTGGTATTTCCTGGTTAGTCAAAGGTAACCCTAAAAGAAATGAATTTCAGGGATTTGATTGCTTGGCTTTCTGATTGTAAAATAGGAAATGATTAACAATTTGTTCACGTATTCACCTATTTTAGATGCAACTTTAAAGCAGCAGCAACATTTAATGGGCATCTTGACAGACACATGAAAAGGCAGACAATACAGGGATACGGACTGTGAAGAGGCAAAGGGTTTTTAGTTGAGGAAGGTGACATGTCAGTGCAGGCTTCATAGACTGAAGGGCCTGTTTCTTTGCTGTATTGTTCTTTGCTTGGGAAAACCAGTTTCTTCTCTGTTACAACGACACATTCTCAAATAGAACACCTTTGAAAGGAATGACAAATATGCAGAGATACAGGACTTCTAATTATATACAAAAGACTCTTTCATACCTTGCTAACATAAGATTGGCAGTTGGATTGTTAGTACCAGGTCCTGTTGGACTCCACTTAATAGTATAGATTTCCTTGTTGTGCGCTTGTAAATCATGAACACATGCATCTTGCTTCATGCTCCAGATCTATATGAGAAACATGATAAAAATCAAATTAAGGAGATATTCAACACCACAATACTCATTTAACAGGTACATTAAATAGACCCATTGTAAAAAAGATCTACTGAAAATAATATTTAATATACATTTAAGTAAAAAGGCCACTCTGCTCATCCTTTCCATAGCTCATGCTGAACCAAAAAGTAAATTTTCACAATACATTTCTAAAAGCATTAACTTTTCCAACTCTGAATTAAGCTTTGAAAACTCCAGGATGCAATATCATGATTTCACTTATTCAAATGCACAGCCAGTTGAAGCACACAAATGATCAAGGTCTATATATGATCCCACAATGTGTTCTGAAAGCCTTCTTTAATATATACAAATGTTGTAGAACATTGATGCATGCAGCTGTCTTCAAGAAAGGGAAATCATCAACTTAACACTGGCTGGAAAAACGTGTGCGAATACAAGGAACAGGGGAATTCAAATGGGGTAACAACCAAAGATAAGATCTAAAAGAAGGATTTACGAGATATTTGAAGATAAAGAGATAAGTTGCCAGGCAATGAGGTGCTGGGAGAAAGGCTATGGGCCAAGAGCTGGAAAGTGGGATGAGATTAGATAGCCCTATTTTGGCCAATATAGATACAAGCGGCTGAATGATCTCATTTAGCCATAATTTTCGGTAATTCTATTTGTGAAATGATCACAGATACAGTCAATGTCTGGAACTCATGTCCTACACGCAGAAGTCAAAATAAAGATTTTAATTGTTTCAGCAACGTGGTTTAAGCATTTTGAGCTTTGTTCTTTTTCATTTGATTTAAATTGTCCATGTTTGGTTAAAAATTAGTTCTCCAATCACCACGGTCAAATCTACAAGACGTACACCATTATTAAATATTCTATATTAAATCATTTTTTCAGCTGTAAGAGAACTTTTAATGTAATATTTCATTCACAACAAATTAAATGTCACAACAAAAAAATGAAACATTAATTACCTTTAAGGTCATGTCATCAGAACAAGATGCAAGCAGATTCCCCGTTGGATCCCATTTGATCGCATTCACTTCATTCTGAAAACAGATCCAGGTTATTAAAAATGAATAAGATATTTCTTTCATACCTGCAGCCAGAAACTGTTGAAATTTAACATAAATGAAATATGATCTTGTATGTTGAATATCAGTACCAGGAACAGATTATTCAATTATAGTCAACAAATGCGAATCAACATTAGCACAAAATTACGGCATCAATTCTGAAGTAGGTACAACAATCAGTCTAAAGTGGTAACACCCTACGGTAGTCTTAATCAATTAAGCGGACCAATCGAAGCTGTAGTCAAGATTCAAAACTGACACTAAAGTTTAAAAGTCTTCTAAATTGAAAAGAATGATTTACAGATTCACATTAAAAATTCTGTCAACCTACACCACTGCAGTGATTTGAAGTTTATCGAAAACGTAACATAAAATAAAGCAAAACACAGTAAAGGGTATTTTATCCAACACCTCTCAAACTGGAATGCTTCATCAACCAGCATCTCTGATTCTCCTGAATCTATTGCACACTTCAGTAATCAGAATACTTCCTGATGCTAGCCAGCACCCAAGTGCTAGCAGATAATATTGTAATGATATTCTGATGTGAGCAGACACATAAGTACTCTTTTGGAGTCATTCAGCATGGAAACAGACCCTTTGTCCAACTGGTCCACACCATATTCCTAAATTAAACTAGTCTGCATTTGGCCCGTATCCCTGCGAACTTTTCCTATTCATGTAGTTATCCAAATGTTTTTTAAATGTGTAACTGTACCTGCATCCACCATTTCCTCTGGCAGTTCATGCCATACACTAAACCATTCTGTGTAAAACGTTATCCCTCACATCCTTTTTAAGTCTTTCTCCTCTCACCTTAAAAGCATGCCCCTAGTTTTAAACTCCCCCACTCACAGGAAAAGACCCTTGTCATTCACATCATCTATGCCCCTCATGATTTTATAAACTTCTATAAAAGGTCACCCTTCAACCTCCTAAACTCCAGTGAAAAAAGTCCCAGCCTATCCAGCTTATTTTTATAACTCAAACCCTCCATTCCAGGCAACATCCTGGTAAATCTTTTCTGAACCCTCTCCAGTTTAATAATATGCTTGCTATAACAGGGAAACCAAAACTGCACACAGTACTCCAGAAAAGGGCTCACCAATGTCTTGTACAACCTCAACATGACAGTCCAAATCCTTTACTCAAAAGTCTGAGCGACGAAAGCACGATGGACAGGCTTCATAACCATTCTGCCTACATGACATGACCCAATCTATATGTGATGCAAACTTCAAAAGAATTATGTATCTGAACCCTTAGGTTTCTCTGTTCTGCACCACAACCCAGAGCCCTACCATTAATTGTGTAAGTCCTGCCCTTGTTTGTTTTAACAAAATGCGATACCTCACATTTATCCAAATTAAACACCGTCTGTCACTCCTCAGCCCATTGACCCAAATGACCAAGATCGCTTTGTAATCTTGGATAACCTTCTTCACTGTCCACTATACCACCAACTTTGGTGTCATCCACAAACTTACTAACCACGCTTCCTATATTCTCATTCAAATCATTCTTTTATATATGACAAACAAAAAAAGTGAACCCAGTACCAATCCCTGTGGAACACCGCTAGTCACAGGCCTCCAGTCCAAAAAGCAACCCTCCAACACCACCCCCGTGTCCTGTAAAGTCAATTTTGTACCAATTAGCAAGCTCACCCTGAATCCCATATGATGTAACTTTATTAATTAGTCTACAGATGACACTAAGATGAGTGGCAGAGCAAAGTGTGCAGAGGACTGTGAAACTTTGCAGAGGAACATAGATACATTGAGTGAGTGGACAAAGGTCTGGCAGATGGAATACAATGTAAATAAATGTGAAGTCATACATTTTGGTAGGAGTAATAGTAAAAAGGATTATTACTTGAATGGTAAAAAGTTGCAGCATGCTGCTATGCAGAGGAATTAGGAAGGCAAATGGAATTTTGTCCTTCATTGCTAAAGGGATTGAAATTAAAAGCAGAGAGGTTATGCTGCAGCTGTACAAGGTGCTGGTGAGGCCACACCTGGAGTACTGTGTGCAGTTTTGGTCTCCTTACTTGAGAAAGGATGTATTGGCACTGGAGGGGGTGCAAAGGAGGTTCACTAGGTTGATTCCGGAGTTGAGGGGGTTGGCTTATGAGGAGAGACTGAGTAGATTGGGATTATATTCATTGGAATTCAGAAGATTGAGGGAGGATCTTATAGAAACATATAAAATTATGAAGGGAATAGATAAGATAGAAGTAGAGAGAATGTTTCCACTGGCAGGTGAAGCTAGGACAAGAGGGCACAGCCTCAAGATTAGAGGGAGCAGATTTAGGACTGAATTGAGAAGGAACTTCTTCACCCAGAGGGTTGTTAATCTATGGAGTTCCTTGCCCAGTGAAGTAGTTGACGCTACTTCAGTAAACGTTTTTTAAAAAAAAGGGAGCTTTTTTTGAACAATAAAGGAATTAAGGGATACGGTGAGAACGCGGGTAAGTGGATCGGAGTCCACAAAAAGATCAGCCATGATCTTACTGAATGGCGGAGCAGGCTCCAAGGGCCAGACGGCCTACTCCTGGCTCCTAGTTCTTATGTTCTACCATGCAGAATCTTAAAGGCGTTACTAAAGCCCAAGCAAACAACATCAACCGCTCTGCACTCAATCTTTTTTGTTACTTCCTCAAAGCACTCAATCAAGTTTGAGAAGCATGATTTCTCTTGCACAAAACCATGCTACTCCTAATCATTCATTGCCTCTCCAAATGTATGTAAATCGTGTCTTTCAGAATCACCTCCAACAACTTACCCATCACCAGTGTCAAACTCACAGGTCTACAGTTCCCAGGCTTCTCCTTACAGCCTTTCATAAATAAAGGCACAACATTAACCACCCTCCAGTTCTCCCGCATGGTTATAGATGATACAAATACTTCTGCTCAGCGCCCTGCAATTTCCTCCCCAACTTCCCAGAATGCCCCGGGATATACTTGATCAGGTCCTAGAGATTTATTCACCTTTATGTGTTCTAAGACCTCCAGCACTTTCTCTTCTGTAATTTGAACCATTTTCAAAACATCAATATTTATTTCCGAGTTCTCTAGCCTCCATTTCTTTCTCCACGGTAAAAGCCGACTTGAAATATTCATTTAATATCTCTCCCATCTCCTGAAATTCAAGACAAAGATGACCCTGTTGATCTTTATGGGGTCCTTCTCTCCCTCATATTTCTTTTGCTCTTAATGTACTTACAGAATCTCTTTAGATTATCCTTATCTTTGCCAAGGCGCTGTCATATCCCCCCTTGGCCTTCCCGATTTCCCTATTAAGAATGCCCCTACACTCTTTATACTCTTGAAGAGATTCATTTGATCCCAGTTGTCGATACCTAATATGATTTTTTAAAAATTCTTGACTAGAATGTCAATATCTTTATTCATCCATTGTTCCCTAATCTTACCAGCCTTGTCTTTCACTCTAACAGGAACATAATGCTTCTGAACTCTCATTATCACACATTTGAAAGCCTCCCACATGTCAGTTGTTCCTTTACCTGCGAACAGTCTACTGCAATCAACTTTTGAAAGTTCTTGTCTCATAGCATTAAAAATTGCCTTACTCCAATTAAGAACTTTAACTTTTATAGAAGGATTTATCCTTTTCCATAACTATTTTATAACTAATAGAATTATGACCTTGGGTAACGTCATGACACAATAGCAATGGAGACACTGACACAGGCACTGTATGATCCTCAAGTCCTGTTTGAGACATTATCAGAATGGATACCTAGATATCCCTTGCGGTCCCTGCTTTGGTGGGACCTAGCCTTATGGTAGTCATCACCATTTTAGTTGCTGTGGAATAGCAATATTTTG